GATCAAGATTTTTGAGATACTCGCCTGCTTTTTTCTTAGATAAAAAATAACTGAGCTGCGTTGTACTAGGATCAGTGTTTCGGGCGAAACCCGATTTTGCAGATCATTTGCAGACCAAATCGGGCGAAACTAGTTTCGGAGGGTTTCGGACTTATAGGGCGAAACTAAAATTCCTCTGGGTGAAACGTTTCGGATTTGGAAAATAGTTTCGCCCGAAACACTGACTAGGATAGATTACTCGAACAATTATGCCAGATTTTTGCAATGGTTCTATAGTTGCACAATGTTCCTAATTTCGTGCTATTTAATGAGTCCAATTTATTTATCGTTACCGTTACCTTAATGATCAGATTTCTGATTTCGAACAATTTGTTTTGAAGTAAGTGATCTATAAATTCTATTTTTTTTAGCATCCGGGATCGACGTTACACAGGTATTTATATAACATAGTATAAAACCGAAAGTTTTGGGTATAAGCATTAAAAAAAAATCAACCATTGCATAATACATTACTAATGGAACAATTTACTAGCGAGTGTCTTGTCAAGAAAATAAAGTTGCATCGCGCGACTAAAGGTAGATTGAAGAGTTGAAGTATTATCTACCGTATAGTAACAAGTAATAAAAATATATTACACTGTTTAATTCGTGGAGTTTGAGTTTATTTTTTTTCGTTTTTTATTCATATAACTAACTCGTTTAATTTATAAAACTTACAAGTGTTTTTTAAGAGCTACGCATAGTTAGAAGATAGTTTATTTAATAAATTCATTTTATATGTATAATAGTATGGTTTTATTGGTCGTATAGAGTGCTATTAGAGGTTACGTAGCTTGTTATTAAATAAAGTTTATACAATTGTAAAAGCTGCTACGTATTCTAGCTTAAATAAATAATATGATTCTTCTACAACGCGAGTTTTTTTTTTTTTTTTGAAATTAAGTCATAGAAGAAATTATAATATATGGATTACGCTTGCTATTAGCCGTCTTGTTCAACGAATACGTATCTAAAAGTGAGGTCATGTGTTGTGTTATGATGGTTTTTGATTGGCTATGATAAACCGTGTATTTCCGAAAAATGAGAAAGTCCACCATGCTTTTTTTTTTTTATACACTTATATATCATCAAAAAAAAATCCTATTATATTTCATCAGTGAAAATATGTGACCTTACATTGAAGATCTAGGTTGTCTAAAATAATAATGAAAGCGATTCAGAGATGATATTTAGGGTGGCGAGATACGTATATTGTCAGATGATTTAACCCAGGTCAAACCGGAGTTGCCTTCAGTTTATTACTACCATTACGTATACTGACTGATACGTATAAATATTCGTATAACAAACAATACACATTTTCTCAGTAAAATGGCTTTGAAATTTTATGAACAACTTTCGCAAGACTTTACTCAACTTCTTGAGAATGAATATGATTGTGATGTAATAATTGAAGTTGGAGAACAACCGAATACTCATCTTGTTAAAGCGCATTCTATAATCTTGTACCAACGTTCACTTTACTTTCGTCAGAAATTAGCAAATACGATTAAGAAAAATAATGTAATTGAAATTAAATTACCTCATGTTTCTATCGAAATATTTAATATTGTCATCAAGTAAGTTATATTATAATATTACAGTATCTTATTATAATAATATTACTATAAACCATTTTAATCACTATATAGATACATTTATGGTGGCACAGTTTCTTCAGAAAATCTCGTGCTTGAATTCATGCTTTCAGAACTGGTTAAGCATTTTCAGACTTTTCTTATTGATAGCAATGCATCTTGGCTCCGCTTGAATTTTTCTCGTATTTATCAAATAAGCTTTCTTGATGAAAACTTTAAACCTTTACAACAATTTTGCAATGACATTATTGTAAAACGTCCAAGCATGATTTTTGATTCTGATGATTTTACCACACTCCAAGAGAACGCTTTAGTTGCTCTTTTAAAAGACGATAATTTACAAATGGAAGAATTAGAAATTTGGGATAAAGTAATTTTATGGGGAAAAGGGAAAACTCCAGATCTGCCATCTAACCTCGAAGAGTGGACTAATGAGAATTTTAAATCTTTAAAGTCTACACTTCAACACTGTCTCCCTCATATCAGATATTTTCAAATTCCTGGTAAAGAAGTATTAAAGAAAATTAAACCTTATCGTAAAATTCTTGAAGAGAATGTATGGGATGATATTATTTCGAGATCAATAGATCCAGATATTTCTATCACTTCTCTAATATTACCACCTCGTAAAAAAGCAACAGTACAACTTCCTCTTCGAAAAGCATCGACTACTATACCATCTTCTTCCATAATCACATTAGAGCATGCAGCAGAGATTTCATCCTGGATTGATCGGCGTTCAAAAATTTATGATACATCAGAAATTCCATATGAATTTAAACTTTTGCTTAGAGGCAGTAGGGATGGTTTCACAGGTGAAATATTTCATAAACTATGTGATAACATACCTGGTACTGTGGTTGTTGTAAAGGTTGTTAGTACGAACGAAATACTTGGTGGTTATAATCCTCTTATCTGGAAAGTTAGTAAAAATAATTACGAATTTGTAACAACAGCTGATAGCTTTATTTTCTCTTTAAAAAATGGAAACTTAAATGAATCTACTCTTAGTCGAGTAAAAGATACGTCAAAAGCAATTTCTTATGGTGAAATATCAGAAGGTCCATGGTTTAGTGGTTGTGATTTTGGAATTAATGATAAAGAAGAAGCTTATTATAATGATAGGTGGCGAAAGCCGAATGCATACGAAAAATTAATCAGTAGCAAAGAAGGTCAATTTTGTATTGATGAATATGAAGTTTTTCAAATTTATAAAAATGAATAAAATAACAGTAGTTATTTTTTAAAAATTTGTAAAACTATTGTAATTAAAAAACTATAGAATTAGTTTATTAAATAAAACAGTTGAGTTCTCACTACGCTTCAGACAATAAATAAATGAATAAATAAATAAATAGTTGGGTATACAGGGAATAAACATTATTACTTTATAGCGAAAATTTTTGCAGCATTTTGTTGTTCAATAATCATTTTGCAATTGAAATTATTAGTATTTTGCCAAAGAAAAAAGCATAGTAGAATTGTAATCTTGGAATTTCCGCATTTCTGTAGATAAGTGTTACGGCCGATAAAAAATGTGAATGCAAATTCTTTTGTAATTTTCAATTTGATGTATATTTACAATAATTAAATAACTTTCGTGACTTGGATAATTCGTTATATGATTTGTGAGTGATTAGAGTACTCCTAGCGAGTCACGAGTTATCACGAGTCCATTCACTACATCGAGTGAGTGATTATTATGAATTTGGATAAATATTTATTATCATTATTTTTTCTTATCGATTTTCTACATTTTCCATAATTTTTGGCCAACCTATTTTTATAGGTGGAAATACAATATAATAATTATGACCATGCGTGAACTGGATTGTATCTAAATTTTTTGTATATAGGTTAGAACATGCTATTTGTTTTTCTTTGCATCATTGCATCGTGTAGATACCTTTTATTTAATAAATCTTGTAAGAACATGGTCCATTATTAAAGTTATATATGTTGTAGGTGGTTACGGGATATTTCTGGATTCAGAATCAACTTAAGTTGATTCTGAATCCACTTAATTGGACTTGGAATCTCAAAATGACTTAAGTGGAAATTGAATATATAAAACAAACATACGAAGCAAATTTTATTATACAGCATTATTAATAAAACAAGCTTATCTACTATATACATATAATATAGATAAATGATTGAGGAATATAGTCATGCTTACTTCTAATCTAAAAAAAAAAAACGTAAGGGAGAGGGGGGTATTATGACACAGGTGGGTATTGTGATGCACTCATGTTTTTTGATGATATCTTGATCAGAATCGAGTAATTTTGGCATCATTCGATTCCTCTTACTGAGACGAATCCAACCCATAAAAATCTGATCCAACCTGACTAATCAAGTTAGTACGTACATACCGGTGCAATTATTAATCATACTTGACTTATGACGCATTTTTTATTTAAAAGAAAAAAAAAAACAACACGTGCTATACTTATCCGTATATGTATTCTGTTCTGTAATACTATGTTTTCCGACATTAATTCGACATATACGATGTGCGTCATAATACCCCCCAAATGTAAAAAACATAGCATTTTTTGAGTAGATTTTAAAAGCTCATATCTTTATAATTTTTTTTTTAAAGGCGATTTTTTTTTTTATTGTAGATAGGTAATTACCTGAGTAATCTATTTCTACAAATTTTAAGAACGAATAAATTTTTACTGAAAAGTTTTATATGAGCAACGCTTAGGTGCGTCATAATGCCCCCCCTTATGTATTATACAATTTACAATTAATTAAATATATATTTGATAAAATTTAAACTAATTCTTACAACATCCCATATTTTGGACGCTCCAATATGTTTTAAATGCCCATATGAACTTTGCACAATATATCATAAAGATGATTAAAAAGGCATTATTTGAGTATTTGGATTAGTCTCAATTCCTAATTCTTGAAGCTTAATCCAGTATCGATCCTTTGAAGTCCCTAAGTTTGTATTATTAGATCGTGAAGTACTGCAATAATAAGGTCATAGTCTGTTTGTGAAATGAAGGTTTTACGACATCTATTTAAAGGTTTTCCTTCAAGATATTTGTTTTTGAAATAAAGGATATTTTTCTTGGGCTGACATATTGGGACATAATAATAAATACAATTCAATTGCTTTAAATATATTCATGATTACTAATACGATTGATTACCTTAAATGATTGCATAAAATTCTATTCCCACTTAAGTATTTTTAAGATCCAAAATCAATTTAAGTTGATTCCGATCCCGTAACCACCTACAACATTACTAATGTAATTCTTATTTTCAAATATCTATATATCAAAAGTAAATTTATAATAAATAGGCAAATTCTGAAATTGTAACAAATTAAAAAAATAATATTTACCATCTGTTAAATATCTTTGAACAATCAAAATAACAAGATTAAAAAAATTTTTTAGATAAAAAGTTCAAAAGCAATAAAGAATGCATACATACCGCAACATCCGCAGTCTCGTTTGTGCAGGTGACTTATTTTCCAAAAAAAAAAAAAAAAATTGTAGCAAAAAAAAATTGTAATAGTTATTAAAATAGTTATTAAACTCACCTCTTCATTAGCGATGACATGCATGGCTAAAATAGAATATTGGTGTAAAGCGTTGACAGCACTTTGACGTTCTTCTTCTTGTTCGCTATCGGCCCTTTGCGAACGCGCAACTATCGTTGATGATGGAAAATCTACTTGTAAACTTGAAAAAGCAGTAGCAGTTTGTAAAACTGTAGGTGGTGGTGAAGAAGGAGGTGGAGTTGTAGAATGTGAAGAGGCCAGAGGTGGTGTGGTATTAGAAATCTCGGAATCAGCCATTGTAGAAAAGAGATGAAAAAAGAAACGTTTTCATCATCAATCTGGTGGACATTCGATTTGATTGGTTGAAAAAATCCCGTTAAAATTTTTAAGGGTAGAGTGCACGTAGATCATTTCATATGATAATAAAAATTCGCCACTAATAAAAATTTTTACAGACATAATTAATTTTAATTTTAACCAAACATAAAGCGTAATTTCTATTTCTAGTAGTAAAATTTTTAAAGGCTATATTATTTTAAAAAAAATATTTTCTTATACAGTAAAATTTGCCAGAAAAGCCTCAAATTTTCCGGGGTTATATAGTACAAAAAAATAAAAATATTTTTAAAACAGGTATAATAATTAATACACTGTATATATACTCTACTCTTAAATTATCAATTGGTAGTATTTTATAGTAGTGATATTAAATTACCTTTCAAGTTATTCCAAACTACTGTTTGAATATACAAATTATATTATATCTATAAGTGATGTAAAATAAAATAGAAGCTTGAAAATGCTATTAAATATGTATTCTTGATTATAAGAATTTTAAATATTGAAGTTTTAATAAACTTATTTTTGTATTTGCAATCAAATAATGTTTAAAAATTAGTTGTAATTTTAAATTTAAGAGATGTATTAATAAATTATTTGTAAAGATTTTACTTTGATTTTTTTAAATTTAAATAAGCTTTTACATAGACTAGATTCTTACTATAAAGCTTAAATATAATATCCTTGCCTGGTTTATAAAGTTATACTGTAGATACTCTCAAAAATTATCTATAGATTTAAACATTTAGCCAATAGTTCTTAAATAGCTTATAAAAAAAATATAGCTAATATTACTTAGTTATATAGTATATATCCCTTAAATTGTTTTGTAGCCAAATTTGCCTGCAAAATTTTTTAAAATATAAATTTTTTTAATAAAATTTTAAA